GTGTATATAAACCACAATTTCTTTATCCATTCATCAGTTGATGGACATACTCAGTAGGTTCTGTTTTAGTTTTGTTGATTGTTTCCTCTGATTCTGTTTCTGCTATTTTGATGTGGTCCCAATAGTTTATTTTGCTTTTGTCATTGTCAGAGAAATTATTGCCTGTGCTCTCTTCTAGGATTTTTAGGGTTTCAGGTCCCACATTTAGATCCCTAATCCATTTTGAGTTATTTTTGTTTAGGGTCCAGTTTCATTCTCCATCTTGTTTCTTTGTACTGTTCTTTAATGTTATGTATTATGTGGTTTAGTATATGCTTATAGTATAAAAAGTCATATAGAACAGAGGAATGTAAAAAAAAGAAAAAAAAAAAAAGGTAATCTGCCTCTGGCTTCCAATTCCACTACCCTGGGGAGGTCTGTGGACTAGTGTACAATTTGGAAAATTTTTATCTTAGTGATATTCAAGTCTATCTTAGAGCTAACCCTCTACTTCCCCCTACTTAATTCCTGCTTTGTGTTTTTGAAGGCATAGATCAGCTGTCACTTGTAAAGCCACAGCCTTTTATTCCTCAGAACTTAAATTTTAGTACTTTTTACATTAGATTCTAAAAGATTTGCTTCATGTCTGTAACTACTCTCCTACACGTGGGAGCTCCTTCAGGAAAAGGCAGGGATTGTGTCTTAGGCCCTAGCCTCTCCAAAGTCAGTGACTAAGACACTGTAGGTACTCAGTAAATGTTAAGAATGAATAAATGGCCTCTCAGTTTCCAGGATGGCATCCACTGTAACTGATACGCTGCGTAAAATGGTCCACATACAACAGATGGTATATGGTGAGAATAATTTTTTCAAAGTTCTCGAAAAAAATGTCACAGTATTCTTAATTGATGAAAACAGAACAATAACATTGGAATAAATTTTAAAAAATTGATCTAGAACTTCAGTGAGAAAAAGCAGATTTAGTTGAGAGATGAAATGGGCAGCCTAGGGGTTTGGCGAAGACTTGTGGAAGCACATTTGACTATTACTGATGTTAAGTCTGGTAATGATTTTTAAATTTCATCTAGTTTTATGTCATCATGTGGTTTTAATAAATTTATATTTATTCGTAATGTGTCACTAGCATTTCACTTATTTCACTATTATTCTGATCCTTTAAAAAGGTCTCAGACAACTTGGAGTGATTTTTCAGAATCATAATTGGGAGGTAAAAGAGGAAGAACTGAGGAGCAGAGCTTATATCGTATTTCCTGGGTGTGGGACTGAGGGATACTCAGGAGAGAGGTGGTGCTTTGGTTGAAACACTTCTTTCTTTCTTTTTTTTTTTTTTTAATTTATTTTTTAAAGTTTATTTTTATTTTTGAGAGAGACAAAAACAGCATGAGTAGGGGAGGGACAGAGAGAGAAGGAGAGAGAGAATCCCAAGCAGGCTCTGTGCCATCAGCACAGAGATGTGGGACTTGAACTCAGGAAACCTCAGGAAACCATGAGATCATCACCTGATCCGAAACCAGGAGTCGGAGGCTTAACTGACTGAGCCACCCAGGCGTCCCAAAACACTTCTTTATTATTACCACCAGGTGGCACCACTGGCCCAGGGTGACTAGGTTTCTGCCCAGAATGAGAAGGGAAGGTTTTGAGAGCCCATCGCTGTGGGGGTAACATAGAGGGGTTTGCAGGTGTGTGTGTGTCAGAGGGAGGTACATGTATACCCTTTTCCCCTCTAGTCTAGAGCTTTTGGTAAACTGAATGTGTATAAGGCAGGGAATGAAGTACATGAAGAATTTAAACTTTTATTATCTTATCTGATAATTTTTATTGTTTTTCTTTTTTTCTTTCTATGCCTGTAGTTCCTTCAGAAACAGGTAACATTTTTCTGACAGCCTCTTTGTATTCTTGCATCTTGCTTTTATAATGCTTATGTTTCTTACAATAGAGGGTAATGGAAAATTAATATACTCTCACATGACATTGGAAAAATCTGCATGCAAATTGCCACAGTTGCGATTAGATTATAGACAATTAATTTTCCAAACTTTGCAGAAATCCTGGCTACAACATTTTACTATTTAATACCAACATTGTTTTTTCAAAAATCCAAACATGGGCGCCTGAGTGGCTCACAGTTAGTCAGGTGTCTGACTCTTGATTTTGGGTCAGGTTATGATCTCACAGTTGTGAGATTGAGCCCCGCCATCAAGCTCTGCTCTGTGTGTGAAGCCTGCTTGAGATTCTGTCTCTCCCTTTCCCTCTGCCCCTTTCCTGCTTGCAGCTGTGCACGCATGCACGCACTGTCTCAAAAAATCCAAACATTGAATTTTCAGAATTTACAGTATTAGATACTGTTCACAGTGTAGAATGAAATATCCAGGCCTTGCCTCCTTGTAGCTGATAATAATAGAGTGTTGGCCTGAAATATGGTGTTTATGACCAGGGTTTTCCCCAGTATCCTAACACTATAGCTTCATTTTTGTGCTCTCTACTTCTGTTCATCTTTTTTACATCTTCCTCTAAACTCTTTACTCGTCTTTAAAAAGGGACTTTCTGTGGTGCCTGGGTGGGTTTTTTTTTTTTTTAATGTTTATTTTTGAGGGGGAGAGAGAGAGAGAGAGAGACCGAGTGTGAACAGGGAAGGGGCAGAAGGAGAGGGAGACAGGATCTGAAGTAGGCTCTAGGCTTTGAGCTGTCTGCACAGAGCCTGACGCAGGGCTCGAACCCATGAACTATGAGATCTTGACCTGAGCCGAAGTTGGATGCTTTACCGACTCTTGAGTTTGGCTCATGTCATGGTCTCCTGATTCGTGAGTTGGAGCCCATGTTGGGATCTGCCCTGACTGTGGGGAGCCTGCTTGGGATTCTCCCTCCCTCTCCCTCTCTCTAGATCTCCCCTGCCCCTGCCCTGCTCACAGGTTCACTCTGTCTCAGATAAACAAACCTTAAATAAAAAAGGACTTTCTTTTGAGGAGGATTTAAAAGCAAGAAATATCAGTATTAAGAGAAACACAACTTTTGTGTTTCCTTTTCCCCCTTTCTGCCTTGAAAGAAAACTGTCATGCTAAGTAACAACATGCGAGTAGTTTACTCCTTTTACATGATCGGTAAACAGAAGATTTAAGATAACAATACAGTATTGAAAAAAATCGGTTACTTATTAATGGACTCTTAATACAGCCTAAAATTGTGATCAGCAGATTAAAACTTGGTTCAGTGAAGTGTTAGATGCTTGCTTTTCCACATTGGGTCCTTTTTGGTTTTGTGTAGGATAATACTGATAAGAACACATTTATCAATTTGAGGACAGCTTGACTCAGTCCTTGTCTTTCCTGAACACTTTGACAGACACACACGTGCACTTCCGTGAGAATAAGTCCATTTATGTGGTTCTGTAAAAATATCTCTTGCTGCTTTGAGCTTTAATTTCTTGAATAAAAAGAGTATCATCTTCAATTCTGGGTTGCCATGTAAGTAAATGCTTTATGCACTGAAGCAGATGCCTTTCAGAAAACTAGTGTAATTAAAACATGAATAGGATCAGCAGTATAAGTTAATAATCGTAATAATCGTATTGCTTACTGCAAAACAGGACATGACTGGCTTGAATTTTCCTGTATTATAGTTTTCTGTTCTGTTTTTGCGAGAAAATAGGGAATTTCAGTAAGTTCAGGAAGTTATGACATTCTCTTGAAGTTTTACTGGCAAAATTAATTTTTACCAAGAATTCGTGCAACCATAAGGTGATATAGAATATGGCTTGTATCAGGTGAATGTCACGTAAGGCCAAGTTTTTGGGACCATTAGTGTCTTCCATCTGAAGGTGTCATTATGAGGACAGCAACATTCTGTTAGACCCTCTTAGAGAGCTTTTCCAAGGTGCGCTCATCTTCTGGTGGATGCTCTGTCCCACTCCTAGCTAAGGCGTGCTGTTGTTGGGATCCCCCCCGTTATGCTCTTAGCTCTTGTAATTGCTAGTAATAGGAGCTACGCTGCTGGAAGAGCTGGCAGCTAAGCCCACAGGTGCAGTTATGCTTTTATTTCCTGGTGTGCACGCACACACACCCATCCATCCCTAGTTTGGGATGAGAGGAGGTAAGAGCTAGTAGTGACACTGGGCTTGTAGTGCCATGCCTAAATTGGCTGGCTCGAATTTCTTTGGAATCACCTTGCCCACTGGGGAGCCAATGACCGTTATAGAAATCGTACCAAATAAAAAAAATTCCTCTGGAATTTTCTCTTTTAAGAGACACCGCTGTTGATACTTCCTTTTCCAACTCCTTGGTGGCAGCTTATAGTAAGGGTGAAGGCGTAGTGACTGGGAGCTAGTATCTTCTAGCAGAAAAGTGTGATTCCCTAGCCCTGTGCTAGGTGATAACCCTGTGGGCCCAGCCATTTAAGCGCAAGCCTGTATCTTCAAAGCATTTCCCCATACTATTGTTGCCCAAGTAGACTTTTACTTACCTGGTCCTAACACCTATCTAGAGAAAAATTTTCTTCACTGGACAGCAGCTACTAGATATTTCCTGTCAGCTGAGCATAGTAATGCTCTCACAAGCTAGTGCTCCTCATTAACATTAGTCAGAGGAGGAGAGAGCACAAAGAGTGAGAAAGTGTTGGTGGGAAGTCCAGGTACATAGGCCTGCCACCTGAACCTTCTGGGGATAGGTGACACTGTGGGGCCTGAATTTTGTAACAGAGTTACAGGGAAAAATGGATTCTGTGAAGGGTTTGGCTTCAGTTACTAATGGCAAAAGTATGTTAGGATATTGCCCTCTGCATGTAGACTTGGATTCAGAAGTTAAAATATCTTCATATGTTTGGCTGCAGCTCTGAGATTGTATCTAATTAATGGATCCATTAAACAAAAATCCTACTTCAGGTTGGATTGATAGAGATCTTCTGGATCACTTCTGAAACACAAAGTACAGTAATTATTTTTAATATAATGACTTGTGTGAATACCTTAAAACATACTTCATATGGCTTAAAATTATTTGGGAACATACCTTCACTGAAAGTTTTTTGAAGATGATGGTATTAGAAGCATTACATCTCTGAAAGCATACCATTAATGCTATTCTTTCTATTTCATAATTACTTTTCACATACCTCTTTGTTGATAATGTATGTATGTATTAGTGTAGCCTGTTGTCTGGCTGTATGATCTTTCAACTAAGTCCATCTTCTGCAGACGCTTTTACTGACTCTGCTATCAGTGCTAAAGTGAATGGTGAACACAAAGAGAAGGACCTGGAGCCCTGGGATGCAGGTGAACTCACTACCAGTGAGGAACTGGAGGCTTTGGAAAACGACGTAGTAAGTAAAATCTTTTTGCTTAGTATCAGACTGTGGTCATGTCATGTGATATGGTGTGACCTCCTATCATTTAGTTTTAATTGAAGTATATTGTCATCATTGTAGCGAAGGTATTTAAAGCAGCAGTTTTTTTTGTCTAAACAGAGACTTCTCCCCACACTTAGGAATTATTTCTATGTTTTTAAAGTAAATCATAACAAGCAACTTACAAATTTAAATTGGGAAGCATGGGAAACTGGAAATACTGGCATGTTTTGCTTTGAAAGCTTTACAGAAGAAGGCAGCCTAAGAAAGGGGTGTCTTAATTGTTGACTTTACCTAGAGGTGAGGTCAAAGTATGACTCTTAGGCTTCTTGTCTGAGGAAGAGGTACTCACTATTGAGATACGTAGTGAGTTTACATAGTTATCTATAGACATTGGGATTAGAAGACTTTAACTTTTTTTTTGAGAGTTTAAGTTTTTTTTTTAATTTTTTTTTTAAAGTTTATTCATTTTTGAGAGAGAGAGAGAGAGAGACAGAGCATGAGCAGGGGAGGGGTAGAGAGAGAGGGAGACACAGAATCCGAAGTAGGCTCCAGGCTCCAAGCTGTCAGCACAGAGCCTGACGCGGGGCTCGAACTCAAAAACCGTGAGATCATGACCTGAGCTGAAGTCGGACGCTCAACCGACTGCGCCACCCAGGTGCCCCATAGTTGTTTTTTTTTAAGTTTTAAGCGCAGAGCCTGACACAGGGCTCAAGCTCATGAACCATGGGATCATGATCTGAGCTGAAATCAAGAGTTGGACACTCAACCACCTGAGCCACCTAGGCGCCCCAGAAGACTTTTACTATTTACTGGATATCCTTCTGCACAGTTTAGATTTTTTATCTGGAACATACACTACTTACGCAGTTTTAAAGCCTCTATATGTAACTGATCTCCAGCCCACATATGTTAGCCTCAAGCAGTTGCTTGATTGGTGGTATTACAGAATAGTCATGCCTGGAGTAGCACAGAAGGACCCAAGATTGATGGGTGCCTTCAGAGGCAAGCTTTAGTATTAAAGTTGCCATCAGAAATACTGGGATGATGCTGTGTCCTCTTTCTGAGATGGATAAGGATTATGCACTCTATTTTGTCCCTTTACACCATTCAGACTTTAAACGTTGAAGGGGTTGCAACATTAGTGAAATGACTATCTAGGCATTAATATTCACTAGTGAAGATTCTTGCAGCCTCTGTCCCCAGTTGGTTGATTCTTACAGATTAAAGAATGCAGGCTAGCTTTTGAGAGTGGTAGTTTCCTCATAGAAGTGTAGAGTTATCTACACTGAGGTTACAGGTTAGCATACTGAGCCCTTTGCTCAGGACCCATAGAAGCTGTTAATGTTGAGACCAGTTCTAAAACCCAGCTCTTGTGACTTTGCACAGTGATTGTGTGTTTACTCTCTCATGCTGCTGTCTCTTCGAGCATACCCAGGGAAAAGGGGAGGATGGCCAGGATCTGGTACCATGCTCACACCTTGAATTAGGGATGCAGCAGTGAAAGCTTTGGCTTATTCCCTTCTTCCCCCGAAACTCTGGAAGTATTTTTGGCTATCAGAAAGCATCCTTTATCCCTCGTAGATCTCATGATCAGTCAACTCAAGAAGGTCTCAGGTATTTGCCCTATAGAAAGATGGCTGTTAAGGAGTAGGGAAAGAATTCTGACCTGAATGCTTATGTTTTATGAAGTAACCTGAAATGTTCTAAACTTTTACAAATATTGTCTGAAATAATTGTTTTATATAGTCATTTGCCACTTTGTAAGGGGTGATATATAGAAGAAAAATTTTTTCTTAAAACGTTTTTAAAGAAAGTTTTTGCCTGTTTTTTAATTAGCTAGATTTTGCTGTTATATATGATAGTGTTAATGTAGGATATTAATTGTACTTAAAGAAGAGAAATACTTTGTCATTTTGAAAAATGAACTTTATTTTCTTCTAGTCTAATGGATGGGATCCCAATGATATGTTTCGATATAATGAAGAAAATTATGGTGTAGTGTCTACATATGATAGCAGTTTATCTTCATATACGTAAGTTTAGAAAATTGACTTTTTTGAGCGAATTTGTCTTTGATTTTCATCAGCTTATGTTAGCATGTTGAATAAATAAATATTTGTGTTGGATTTTAGTTTAAACAATTATGTGAAAGAATTAATCCTGTCACTACCTAGGCTGATAAATTCTCATTAAAACGGAATACATTTAGTTTACATATAACCTAATTTTATGCTCTAGATAATTTTTTTTTTAAAGCTGTAAAAACTCTGAATTTGCAAGTATAGATGTTATGGGGCAGTAGTCAATTTAACCAGTTTTGGAAATGTTACATTCCTCCAGGGAAACGTGAAACCGAAAAAAAAGCTAATTTTGATTTATACATAAGTAGATCAGTGTAATTCTTTTATAGTTTTACCCATATTTCAAGCTCTCAACTTTCTTTTTTTTTTTTTTTAATTTTTTTCAACGTTTATTTATTTTTGGGACAGAGAGAGACAGAGCATGAACGGGGGAGGGGCAGAGAGAGAGGGAGACACAGAATCGGAAACAGGCTCCAGGCTCTGAGCCATCAGCCCAGAGCCCGACGCGGGGCTCAAACTCCCGGACCGCAAGATCGTGACCTGGCTGAAGTCGGACGCTTAACCGACTGCGCCACCCAGGCGCCCCTCTCAACTTTCTTAATAGTGTTTTGGGACAGTTCTATAAACTGATTTTAAAATACTCACTTTGCTTTTTCTTTTCCTCACGTTTCAGGGTACCCTTAGAAAGGGATAACTCAGAAGAATTTTTAAAACGAGAAGCAAGGGCAAACCAGTTAGCAGAAGAAATTGAATCAAGTGCCCAGTACAAAGCCCGAGTGGCCCTGGAAAATGATGATAGGAGTGAAGAAGAAAAATACACAGCAGTTCAGAGAAATTCGAGTGAACGTGAGGGCCACGGCATAAACACTAGGTATTTAAAGGAAATCATGATGCAGTATTTTGGATACACAACTCAAGGTCTGTGTGAGAAGGTGTATTATTATTATTATATTTCATCTTCCTTTAATATAGCTTAGGTAGAGAATGCAAGTGGAATTGGTTTAAGATTCTGTTAGAGAAAAGATTATAGTAATTTTGGAAAATATTTTTTGAGCATCGAGCTTTACGAAGCCAAGTGTTGGAAATACAGTGATGAGCAAACCAAGGTTTGGAAGAGCTGCTTAAAACACAGTGATCAGATAGGGGTGGGGGTGCACAGAGCATAGTAACAGATCGCTAGGATTTGCTAGATTAGAGGTGTGTTCAAAGTATTAAGAATATCCAGAGTGAGGATGGCCTACCATGTAACTGTGGAGTCCGAGAACGCGTCACAGAGGAGGTGATGTTATGTGATAAGATAGTACATGTGTCTACTGCCCAGAGAGAAGTATGAGAGGGGCATTCCTTGCATGGTGAAAAGACACGTGAAAGAACCTAGCCAGCTGGGGACGAAGCTGGTTATTTTGTACGTCTGGAATACAGGGTGCTGTTGGGGGTGCAGTGTTGGCATCTGGTGATAGGAACTGAGGTAGTGAAGGACTTTGTGTCATGTTAAAGAGCACCCTGTAGGCAGGGGATGGTGTGAATGAACTCTGGGACATTTGAGAGTTGGTTGAAACAGGGAGACAAGTTAGTGTATTGAAATTGTTCAAGTGTGAGAACTTGGTAACCACCTAGGCCAGGGCTGGCGATAGAAAGGTTAGAAAAACCAGTTGACCCTAAGGTTTATTTGATAACTAAGTTGATTGATGTTTGTACTGGTAAAACATAGAGCAAGTGTGAGGGGAGATAGAGTGAGCTTATTTGTTCAATTTATTGCAGTTGAGGGGCTCGCAAGCCTTAGATAGATTTAATTCGTAAACACGTGTTGAGAACCATCTGCTACATACCTGATAGAATAAGATGTAAATTCTTGAAGACACAACTTAGAGTCTGAAGATTGGAATTAAAGTGTTGTTCAGTGGGAGATTTTGAGACTGTGGAACTGGCAGTGTGGATTTTAGGATTCGTCAGTATTGCTGGTATTGAATGAAAATCCAATGACTAGCCACAGACCAAGAGGAAACAAAATAGACAAGGACACAGAAAAATAGACAAGGACAAAATAGACAAGGACACAGAAAGTTTCAAGAAGACAGACCACATTTGATATCAGAATCCGCCGTCTAGAGGCCAAGTAGGATAAGAATGAATACACTTGTTAAACTTTTTTGCTTAGGAGGAGAATCTGAGAGAAAAGGAAAGGCTAGAGGCTAGACCTGAGGGTAACATGGAAGAATAGGGGTGTTTGGGAGTGAGGCAGTTTGGTTTAGTGTTTAACCTTTTTATAACAAGCATTCACTTCTGCCTAAATTACTTTTCAATTTGTTTCATTGGCCTGATATCTATTAGGATAAAATGATTTAGAGGATCTCTCATTTTCAGGGAAAATAAATATATTCCTCCTGGACAAAGAAACAGAGAAGTCATATCCTGGGGAAGTGGGAGACAGAATTCACCGCGTATGGGCCAGCCTGGATCGGGCTCCATGCCGTCAAGATCCACCTCTCACACTTCAGATTTCAACCCGAATTCTGGTTCAGACCAAAGAGTAGTTAATGGAGGCAAGTATTTTGACCAAATTTGTCAATGTCAGTGATCAGATACATAGTTTTCTAAGTATTTAAGTTTAGCATAATTGGTAAGAGCATGCACACCTTCAGTGATTTCTGTGGAGTAGTTTTTACTTTAAAACTATTTAAAATTTGCTTTTGTGGATATCAAATTAGTAAAATTTGTATAAGTCTTTGGCATATACCGTATTTAGTATGATGAGATTCTCACATGTTATCATAAAGTGCTAAATTTAGCCAAAGATACTCAGTTGGCCAAAAAACACTCCACGTATAAAGAAATTGGAAACTTTGGGTAGGTTCTCAATTTTTTAAAACCCTGGATGATAAAATGATTTAGACACAGTTTATATGGAAAATCCTAGTCTGTGTGAAACACTCAGTGGTTAATACAGGTTCATTTTCGTAAACTGTTTATACATTTATATTCTGCTTACTTCAAGAAAGGATTTGAGGTAACTTGCTGTACAAGACATGACCAAGAGTCATGTGAAGAAGGTGAAGAAAGAAATGTGCTTAAATAAATGATAAGAACAACTCTTAGTTTAAGGATGGATATTATAGTTTAGCAGAAGTAAAGTGAAGGAGACTTGCATCTTTAGCAAGAAGATATTTTTCCGCTCTACCTCTAAATCCTAGGTTGTGGATCTTCCGTGTGAGTCTGGGATACTGGACAGCAGTGTTTTAGGCCACAGGGAAATATAATAGCAATACTACTTTACTCACCCGGGGAACAAAGTAGACGTTCAGTTTAAGGTATTCAAGTTTGGAAAGCTAAAACGGAAAGTAGAGAACACTGAGTTTCCAATTTCAGTTGTTTCTGTTGAGTCTTTCTCCAGAATTCCTCTCCAAATAAACACTCTTGAGTATTTTCTGTACTTAGTATTGGGGGTGAAATTTCTTTGCTCACTGAGTAAAGAATTTTAGTTGTTTATGAACAGAATTTCCAAGTAAAAAACCTGAAGGGGGCTAGGAAATGTATGATACTCAAGTGTGTGGAACCCTATGGAGAGGAGACCTGGACTGTTTCCTAAGATTAAGGTAAGTGCTGTGTGCTATGTAATGTTACACATTAGCTGTATCTTTACCTGTGCCTGTCCCTCAGTGTCACTTTATTTGGTGATGACTGCTCTGTAGTTGCATTGTTTATTAAGCAGTCTCTTAAATAAGTGTTTACTGCATAAATTATTTAGCAGGTCCCCCTTCTTTTTTCTAATTTGTTAAGATTGGAATGTTTTCTTGAAAAGGCAATGAATATTAACCTTTGTCACTCCTGTGACTCAAAAAATAGTAGTAATGGTTTATTTCTACTTAAAATGGACTTGCTTGATGAGATTTCAAACTGAGTCTTCAAGTATAAACTAGATGAAAATCACAGATGGTTATAAAAAAAACAGCATTTTTAATGGGATATAATAGCTGCTGCTTATTTTCATGTTTCAAAAGCTAAAACTAATATAGTAAATAATCTTATTTTCCTGAGTTTTGTGATTTATTGTGTGAAATTATCTAGTTTATGTTATATTCCTTTTAATGATTGATTACTGAGAAACAGTTATAGAACCAGGATTAATAGGCAGAAAGTCTTAACTGTCTTCTTCAATAGTATGTGTAGATCCTAATTAACCCTTTGGGAACGTGTGTTCATTTAAAGAGACTTAATTTTAAGGAGGTTAAAGTAAAATGTGAATTTATGTCAGTTAAGTTATGCTAAAACTTATCACAAATCAAATGACTGTCCTCAAAGGGTTAAAATGTACAAGAAATCATTTTTGTCATTTTACTTTTTTTTCTGTTTACTTTTTTCCCTCATTTTTTTCTTTAGTTTTTATACTTTCCTTCATATCATTTGTTCTGTCAGGTGTTCCCTGGCCATCGCCTTGCCCATCTCCTTCCTCTCGCCCACCTTCTCGCTACCAGTCAGGTCCCAACTCTCTTCCACCTCGGGCAGCCACCCCTACACGGCCGCCCTCCAGGCCCCCCTCGCGGCCATCCAGACCCCCGTCTCACCCCTCTGCTCATGGTTCTCCAGCTCCTGTCTCTACTATGCCTAAACGCATGTCTTCAGAAGGTACAATACCACAATTTGTTCATGTTTTTGTTTGTCTTTGTTTAACTCCTATGTGAGTTTATAATTACAAAATAGTTTCCTCTTCATTATTTAATAACCTATAATTTCCGTGTTTTAACTTTAGTTTATTAAAACTATTTCTATTAACCTTTTTTTCATGAGAAATGTGGTAAATACTGTGTGAAGCAATGAACTGTCCTGGATTGTAAGAATGAGGCTTTAATCTCTGCCTGGTAATGATGCTCTTTTACAGCCCCAGAAGGTCTACTCCAGGTTTCTGTCCCTCTCAATATGCAATGTAAACAGTGGCTAATGATAAACAGTGAACTTTCTTTACCCAGTCTTGGCCTTACTGTAGAAGCTATCATAAAAAATACAATAATGATAAAAAAGAACCTATTATTTTACAGTTACTTGGCCAGGGTACTAGTGAACCTACCTGTTGGCCATAGGCAGGAATGGTGGTTTAGAGGTCCTTTTTGAGAGGGACAGTCCATGTAGTTGCCTTCGTGTGTTTACTCTTAGATTATAATATGGAGATTGGTCTTATGTTTGGGGGATTTAAGAAAATTAGCGTCATAATATTTTCTAGTGAAAGTCTAATCTGGAAGAAGTCCTTGATCTAAGATAAAGTTGTTAATAAAAACCATGTGCCCTTGTCAAAAACAAAACAAAACAAACCTGTAGTTTTCATGCAATATTTGATGCTATACCCTCTGTTGCTATGTAGCAAATACATGGAGGTATTGTAGGAAGGTCACATTTTAATATAAATGCAGTGCATATGTTAAAGACCTGTTTTCTGAATAACTCCTTTTGATGTTTATTTCAGAGTATTTGTGTTAGAATTTTGATCTGCTTTGTTCATTAAAATCGCAGTTGATACAGTTACTGTTGAGACTAATACAGTTTTCTGGCAGTGCTTCCCTGGAGAAAACTATGTTGGCTGCTTTTTAATAAACTGTTGCCATCTAGGCAAGACGGAGGTCATGGGATCTTGACTAAAGTAGCTAACCTTGAACAGCATGTTGCACTGATTTTCAAGGTGACTTCCTTGCACAAAAGTGCCTGTAATGGTGGCCACTAAACAAGAAGTTAAATTCTATTGAAGTATTTGTTGGGATGCATTGTTTAAGTAAAAACAGGACTCACTAGTGAGTACGTACATCTTCACCACAGTAAATTGTCAGGACTGCTTATGGACTGACTATTCAGGCAGAAGTACACCCTCTGCATATTGAGAGGCTGCTACATTATCCAATTTTTCTTTTTAACTAATTTCAATTAAACTGTTTTCCAGTCATGTAGTTAGATGACACTGAAGCATTTTTAAAGTGTGAACTTCACAAGTAAAACCACTAAATATTAAATACAATGGTTTTGTGTATTTAGTATAGGAGAGTACATTTTGTTTCTGTATTTTATGTATTATCAAAAAGAATGAATTTTTTTGCAAGTTAAGAGTTTGATTTCATTGCGCTATACCAATTAGCTTTCTTGTTCTTTTTCTCTAAATGGGTGTAAAAAATATATATATAGATACACAGTTACCCAATTCGTAATTCAATTTTTTTTATGTAAATCACTTCTCCAGTTGAAAACTATGATATATAACATTAACATTTCTTTTTAACATTGTGTCCATGGGTAAATTCCTACTGAGAACACAAGTTTGTTTGACATTCTAAAGAGTTCAACAGCAAGGTGAGGGTGAAGATTGGCTTTGACATCAACAGTGAGTTTTACTGAGTGTTAGCACTGTCTGGCTTCTCTACTGAGAGCAAGTCTGTCTACTGTTTTCACCTGATTGTTTTGTTCCACTGCAGAGTAGACTTTTTAGAAATAGAAATCACAAATGGGTTGACAGAATTAACGACCTAGAATTTTGACAATTTATATAGTGCAAAATTTCTTCTCCAAATGTCAATTATTCTAGTGTTTCATGTCTTTTCAGTAGAATTTTCAGCTCATAGCCTGGTTAAGTATGAGAAACTGCTTACAGGTGAAGACTGCTTTAAGGCATGGCTTGTAAAATTTATTACCATGGCAGAAGAGGTAGATAAACTAAGATTTTATAGAAATTTAAGAAAGGTGTGTAGATATGTTTCCATAGTATAAAAGCATATAGGGATCAGTAGTCTTTTATTTAAATTTTTTTTTCTGATTTTAGAAGTAATACAGAAAATTTGAGGGGAAAAGCTAAAAGTGTGTGGTAAAATAAAACTTAGGTAACCATAACTTCTGTTAACATTTTATTGTTTTTATTTTTATATGCCTACAAGTAATGGATATAGATTAAACAAATTGCCAAAAGTCTTTGAAAAGTTATGACATCTCTTTGATTTCTTATGTCAGCTTCATCCCTCCCTTCCTTTAAAAATAAAGGGAAATAATATAAAATTTATTTATAAAACCTTATGGCATTCCACAAAATAATTCTGAAAGAATATGGCCAAAAATATGTTGTTTTGTTTTTGTTTTTGTTCATTCTTTTATAACCAAGGAGAAAGTAGAGAGAGAGAGGTGTGTGTGTGTGTGTGTGTGTGTGTGTGTGTGTGTGTGAGTGAGTGAGTGAGTGAGTGAGTGAATGGGGTATATGTGTTTAGCAGAAAAGTTGTACTGATGGACGTTGTATCATTTATGTGATGTTCACTATTCCTTTCTTAGGGCCTCCGAGGATGTCCCCAAAGGCCCAGCGACACCCTCGAAATCACAGAGTTTCTGCTGGGAGGGGTTCCATTTCCAGTGGCCTAGAATTTGTATCCCATACTCCACCAAGTGAAGCAGCTGCTCCTCCAGCAGCAAGGACCAGTCCTGCGGGGGGCACATGGTCATCAGTGGTCAGCGGGGGTAGGTAACACTTGGCTTGGAACATAATGACAGTGTTCATTTTGTAATTCTGCATGTAAAAAGGGCTCCACCACTCACTATATGTTAGAGCAAAACATGTGATCATTCTGAGTTTCAGTTTTGTCAATGGGTTAATTTCTGCCTGTTCTACTTTATGGACTTGTGATAAGATTCATATGAGATTTGTAAGTATGAACATAATTCATAGTTTTATAAAGTACCACTCAAATATAAAGCAAATACAGTATGAGGGACCATATTTCCTATCTTCTTAGCAGTTTTGTCCACAGATTCATTCCACAAACATCTGGGCTCACCGTGCTATGTGTTTCTAAAGTTAAAGAAAAATTTTTTTCTAACGTTTACTTATTTTTGAGAGAGAGAGAGAGACAGAGAGTATGTGAGCCGAAGAGGGGCAGAGAGAGAGAGGGAGACACAGAATCCAAAGCAGGCTCCAGGCTCCATGCTGTCAGCACAGAGCCCGATGCAGGGCATGAACTCACAAACTGCGAGATCATGACCTTAGCCGAAGTTGGCACTTAACTGACTGAGCCCCGCAGGCGCCTGCTTTGTGTTTTAATAGCATGTGTATATGGCACTAATTTCTGATTGTATTTCCCTTATGAAGAATATCAAACATAACTCAAGGGTCCCAAGTTTTATCTGTGATTAGCTTGAGGAATGTGCTGACAGCAGTTATAAAATTATAAAAAATACACTTTGATAAGAACTTACAGTTAATTTAATGTTTGCTTCCATAACTGTGGAGAGTTAGAGCACGCAGCGATAGAGGTTTTTTGTTTTGTTTTTGTTTTTGTTTTTATCATCTATCTTAATCAGCACATAGAATCTTTAAAAGAAAAAAGATCTTGGGGCACCTGGGTGGCTCAATTGGTTGAGCCCCTGACTTCGGCTCAGGTCATGATCTCGCAGTCCGGGAGTTTGGGCCCCTCGTTGGGCTCTGTGCTGACAACCCTTGATTGAGCCTGGATCCTGCTTGATTCTGTGTCTCCCTCTCTCTCTGCCCCTCCCCCACTCGTGCTCTGTCTGTCTGTCTGTCTCTCTCTCTCTTTCTCTGTCAAAAATAAACATTTAGGGGCGCCTGGGTGGCGCAGTCGGTTAAGCGTCCGACTTCAGCCAGGTCACGATCTCGCGGTCCGTGAGTTCGAGCCCTGCGTCAGGCTCTGGGCTGATGGCTCAGAGCCTGGAGCCTGTTTCCGATTCTGTGTCTCCCTCTCTCTCTGCCCCTCCCCCGTTCATGCTCTGTCTCTCTCTCTCTCTCTGTCCCAAAAATAAATAAACGTTGAAAAAAAAAATTAAAAAAAAAAATAAACATTTAAAAATTTTTTAAAAGAAAAAAGATCTTTATTTTAAAAAAATGTTTTAAGTTTATTTATTTTGAGAGAGACAGCACAAGTGGAGGAGGGGCAAGGGGGAGGGGAGAGAATCCCAAACAGGTTTCATGCCAACAGCACAGAGTCCAGTGCGGGGCTTGAACTGACAAAACCATAAGATCATGACCTGAGCTGAAACCCAAGAGTCAGATGCTTAACTGAATGAGCCACCCAAGTGCCCCCAAGAAAAAAGATGTTTAAACTTAACCAGAAAGATCTCCAAACTCTGCTGAATGCTTTAGTTGATATATATTGCGCAGAATCATGTATGTATAATTTTATTGTAAATTCCCTTGTACTTCTGTTTTCTTCCTTGATCTTTAAAGAAAACCAAAAGAAATTAGATTTTAGATCTTAGAAATTAGATATTAATTAGGATAATCTAGTTAGAAATTAGATAGTAGTTATTAGAAGGAAATGATTCATTTAACAAGAGAATGGAAGGTCTAGAAACCTGTTTCTTCTGTTGTACCATTAATTATTTGACATTACTTAGAATCTGGAGATGAATTTGAGAGTAACAACATGATTATAGAAGTGAAACAATAAAAACTGTTGTTACATTTATACGCAGAATAGTGTTACAGGTTTGTTTTTTTATACTTACCAGAAAATTGACAGTTGTTGAAGTTTCCTTCCATGATCCTATGACTTCAAAATGTAAAGAACAACTAGAGTGAAGCGAATTGAACCATTTTCCCTAAATCTTTGAATCTGAGTTCTACAAATAAGTTTATAATGGAACAGGAAACTATTAGATGCTTACTTGAGCTCAAGTGGAGTATGAATCCCAGCATGAATTACCTTCCTCTTTTGGCTAAATTGGTTCCCCAATTTTCTTAGTTATTGCAAAGTGGCTCTTGAAGAGGCAAAAAAAGAACATACAGGATTGGCTGCAAGCTGCCAAAAGGTGTTTGAGTTTATTATTTGAAGGAGGAACAAATAAGCCCATTTCTTTGGGACCTCTACCCCATTATTAAAGAGACCTCTCACTTCATCTTAAAAAGTAGTGTTTATCTTGTCTTAGAATTCCAGGATCTAACGTAATTTAAAGTACTTCCTTTTAGAATTAATATATTTACTTACAAGGAAAAACTACATTTGTACTTAGGTATTAATAATTGTTGTCATTCTTCAGATACTTGTGTTCTCAGTCACCACCACGATTCCTTAAGACTTCTGAAAAGAAAACAGAGTGATGGGATAAAGAGTAATTGGGATGGTGGTCAAATTAAGACTATTTTACCTGTATTTTCAAAGAAGCCTCTTTGAGGAAGTGACATTTGAGCTGAGAATTTAATGTATAACTTTTATCTTTCTTCTAGTTCCAAGATTATCCCCTAAAACTCACAGACCCAGGTCTCCCAGACAGAACAGTATTGGAAATACTCCTCCTGGGCCAGTTCTTGGTTCTCCCCAAGCTGGTATTATTCCAGCTGAAGCTGTTGCTATGCCTGTTCCAGCTGCATCTCCCACGCCTGCCAGTCCTGCATCCAATAGAGCTGTTACCCCATCTATTGAGGGTATGTAAGAAAGGGCTTCCAGCTCCAAAATGTCATTTGTGAGGTTCAGTGTTAGAGTTTAATGTTCATTGTATGAAAAATGCGATGTCCATTCATAGGTATATATTTGAGTATACATTTAAAATTTTACATAAATGGAGTTGTTTAAGTAATACTACTAATTTCATAAATGTTATTCTTGAATGTCTGTTAACAGGGCTGACATTCTTGGGTAGTAGCTATTAATATAAATAAACTTACTGGTGTTTGATAGGTCTGCAAAGGAGAAAAGCTTGTGGTTAAATGGAAATGTTTTTTCCCAAAAACTATAGTAAATAAAAATTGTTGAATATTTTCCCATTTTACTTTTTTTTTTTTTTTTTAATGTATTTTTTTTTTTAGCTAAGGATTCCAGGCTTCAAGATCAGAGGCAGAATTCTCCTGCAGGGAATAAAGAAAATATGAAGCCCAGTGAAACATCACCTAGCTTCTCAAAGACTGAAAATAAAGGTTAGAGCTTTAAAAAGTCTTCCTGTATAACTTGGAAATAGGAAGGATATGTCTGATCTCATGCCAAATACAGATTGTTTTTGGTCAACACTTTTTCTTAGGATTGTGTGTATTTAAATGCATGAATTGACCAATGTCAAAATCTGTGATTAATATATTGAATAAAAACTTATTTTCATTTCTAGTATCTCCTCCTAAAAGGATTTTAAGTTAAAGATTTGCAGTAAATCTGTATTTAACTGTTCCACATTTCACAGGTATATCCCCAATTGTTTCTGAACATAGAAAACAGATTGATGACTTAAAGAAGTTTAAGAATGATTTTAGGGTAAGTGTTACTATTGATTAATGAGTTAGGATTTTAATGTCCTAAGAATTTTTATATCCTTCATTTACAAAATATATGCACACCCAGAAACCTCGAATGATGTGTGTAGAAAGCTAAGCATTCTTCAAGTTGTCTTTGCCTATGCTTTTAAGTAGGTAACTAAAATCATGTACTATGATAAGAACTAAACAGATATCAAATGAAAGAGAATATAATTGTGACATTTGAAGCCATCATAACATAAGTTATTATTTGGTGTTCATTTGATTACATTATTCAACGAAGAGTAGAGCAAAGCTGAGGCATTAATTACCTGATGTGGCGAGTGGATGATGGACTGGACCTCAGTGTTCTTAGGTAGTTGCAGATTTATACTTTGTGCACAAATGTATTGTGATAGAAATCTTTCTCTAAAAACCATTTCTCTGTCTTAGGTCTTGTTAACATACTCTAATCTCTCCTGGATGACCATTGCATTCTTTTCTACAGCCTTTACCATAGTAATACATTTTGCATTTCAAGTCATATTTTGAGACCAACTCAGGAGGTCATCTTGAAACTTAGCTCCTTAGAGGGAAAAGATCTGATTATTAGCCTTAGAAAAAAATGGCTGTCTTAAGAGATGAATCAATCAGGGGCGCCTGGGTGGCTCAGTCAGTTAAGCGTCCGACTTTGGCTCAGGTCACGATCTCACAGTTCATGGGTTTGAGCCCCACATCCGGCTCTGTGCTGACAGCTCAGAGCCTGGAACCTGTCTCACATTCTGTGTCTCCCTTTGTCTCTGCCTCTCCCCCACTCGTGCTCTGTCCCTCTCTCTCAAAAATAAAAATAATAAAAACATTTTTAAGAAATTACAAAGAGATGAGTCAAATCAAAAGGCAGCCTTTTCCTAGCTTGTGTTGGCTTCCTAAAAATTAATAAATTTTTGCTGATAGCTTAATTTTTATTGTCACCATTCAAAATATTACATATCATATTTTATTACAATTTATTCAGCTTTAATGCTGTTAATAGGTGTGAATTTTAATTTTTTAAGCTATAGTTAATGCATGGACGGGACACCAAGAATTATGACTGAATGCCCAGATATGTGGTTTAGTATGTCATGCCCTCCAACACAATTAAAGCCCTCCTGTGTACTTGGCTACCTCAGCTGCATCCTCCTGCCAGAGGGAAGGGTTTCTTTCCAGTGCAGTTCTTGATACTGTGTCATTGAGTAGATTCCTGAAGAAGAGAGGATACTATTTTGCATGATCTTCCGTTTGTTATGAATTGAGCTCATGCTATAGGAATTGCCCATTTCCTTAGCATTTTTTACAGTCAGACATTCAGGTCCCTTCTTACTTGAATTTAATTTATTATGTTATGAAGGAAAAAACATTTTTACTTTGGAGCATATGAGTTTGTACATTTCTTGTAGCAGTTATATTGAGGTATAATTTACATGTTATACAATTTAGCCATACAAAGTGTACAATTCAGTGGGTTTTAGCATATTCACAGTTGTACAACCATCACCACACTTAATTTTAGAACATTTTTCTTCGCCCCAAAAAGAAACCCCATAGCTCTTAGCAGTCACTCTTTTGCTTTAAACCCCCACCCCAACCCCCCACCTTTCCCTAGGTCCTGAACAGTTTACTTTCTGTCTCTATACGGTTGCCAGTTGTAGACATTTCATATGAATGGAATCATGTAATATGTGGCCTTTTGTGTCCGGCTTCTTTCACTTAGCGTAATGTTTTCAAAGCTCATCCATGTTGCACCATTTAGAAGTACTTCATTGGTTTTACGGATAAATACTATTCCATTGTATGGATATACCACATTTCATTTATCCATCAGTTGATGTCTCTTTCAGTTATTCCCACGTTTTGACTATTATAAATAATGCTGCTATGAACAGTAGTGTAGTTATATTTTCATTTCTCTTGGCTATAGATACCTACGACTGGAATTCCTGGGTCCTGTGGTAACTCTGTCTTTAGCCTGTGGAGGAAAACTTCCAGACTGTTTGCCAAAGCAACTGTACTGTTTTGCATTTCCACCAGCAGTATATGATGTTTTCTGATTCTCTACATCCTTACCAACACTTGTTATTGTCTTTGTTATTAGAGCCATCCTTGTGGTATCTCATTGCGGTTTTGATCTGCATTTCTCTGATGGCTGATGATGTTGAGCATCTTTTTATGTGCTCATTGGCCATTTGTAGATCTTTTTTTAGAGAAATGTCTATTCATTTTAAAAACTGAGTTGTCTTATTATCAAGTTGTGAGAGTTTTTTTATGTGTTCTGTGTACAGGTCTCACATCAGATACACGGTTTCTAAATTTCTTCTACCAGCTGGTCTTTTCACTTTCTTGATGTTGACCCTTGAAGCTTGAAAACTTTTGATTTTGTTGAAGTCTACTTTATCTTCCTTTTCTTTTATTGCATGTGATTTTGGTGTCATATCTTAGAAACTTTGGCTTAATCCATAGTCATAAAGATTTATTTTTATTTTCTTCTAAGAGTTTCATTTGAGGCTGTGATCTCTTTTGAGTAATTTTTTAATATTGTGTGAGGTAGGCTTCCAGATTTATTTTGCATGTTGCTCTCGCTTGTCTCAGCACCTCCTCTTAAAAGGGTACTGAATTGAATAATCTTTGTCCCCTTGTGGAAGCTCCGTTACTGGAGTCTGAACTCTCCTCCATGACATCTATATGTCTCTCTTTACCACAGTGTCTCTAGAGTTAGTATATTTTTAAATAGCCTACAACTTCATTTAGTAGAAAACATTACGTAACGTTCTTGTACTATTAGATCACAACTTCCTGCAATCTTTAACACTTGACTCTTAAATTCCAGGTAGTTGTAAGATTAGCATTCTATGTCTTTAGGACTTCTAATCTTACTTCTGTTGGGGGCCTGAATAAGTGTGAATGTATTATTACGTCTCTTACAAGTAACTTTCTGGTCCATAAGTGAATACTGGAAAGCAAGGAAATAGTATTAAGAATGTTTGAGAGTAAGCTTATAATTTCCTAAAGGTAAAATAGCGTTATTAGTTTACATTTATTATTTCCTATGTGTCATACACATAGTGCTTGTGTGATAAATCCTTTAGTGTCCTAACATCCCTTTGAAGTAGGTTCTATTCTTTGAGGCAAAGACAAGTTAAATAATTTGCCCAGAGTCACATGGCTAGTTAAAAGAAAGGCCTGGCCATCTGTGTGTTCAAGTTTCTAGTAGTGCATTGGACAGTATCTAATGCATAGTGTGTCCTACATAGTGCATAGTGTCCTGCATACCTGCATGTCCTGCATAGTGTTCTGTGAATGAATCATCAGAGCCATCCTCATGACATGCACTTGGCCTTGAACTGTGGTGGTTCACAAACATCTATAGTCTTTCATTGAGACAGAATTAGGAGTACCCTGTGGTTTTGTTTTTTCTGTTCATTTTCCTTGACACCCATCTGCAGGATCTAATGTAGCTGTGTGCAGGTTGCTGATAGCTTTATTTGTGTAAGAATTGCTAGTAATTTGATCTGTTACAGATTAATGGTACGAGGTTTGGAGGTGAGTAGACTATCTGGTTTGAATCTTGCCTTTACAAAACCATAAGTATGACATTGAAACATGTTATCTGCTTCTCTGAAGCTGAAATGGAATTATTGTAGAACAGATTTCATAGTGTTCTTACAAGAATTAAATGAGATGCTACCTGTAGTGTTTAACATAGTACATGACCCACAGTGTCTATTCAGTAAATATTAATTCCTATTAGCAAAGTAAAGATGATCGAGAATTTTACTGTCAATCAGTATTTTCTTGTTCTCTAAGTCACATAAGAATTTCAGTTTTCCCATTAAATGTTTATACTGCCCAAAGCAACTTATAGATTCAGTGTAGTCCCTGTCAAAATACCAGTGGCATTTTTCACAGAAACAGAATAAACAATCCTAAAAATTGTTTGTTACTACAATAGATTTCAAATGGCCAAAGCAATCTTGAGAAAGAAGAAGAAAGCTGGAGGCATTCCTGATTTCAAACTATGTATAAAGCTGCAGTAATAAAGAATGTTACTGATGTAAAAACAGCCATATGGGTCAGTTATAGAAATAGAGAGCCCAGAAGTAAACCCATGCATATATGGTGAACTAATTTATGACAGGAGCCAAGAATATAGAATGGGGAAGGGACAGTCTCATCCATAAATGGTATTGGGAAGACTGGACTGTCTAACACTATACCCAAAAATTAATTCAAAATAGATTAAAGACTTGAACATAAAACTCCTAGAAGAGGGGCGCCTGGGTGACTCAGTCGGTTAAGCATCTGACTTCAGCTCAGGTCATGATCTCTCGGTTTCGTGGGTTTGAGACCCGTGTCGGGCTCTGTGCTGACAGCTGGGAGCCTGGAGCCTGCTTCAGATTCTGTGTTTCCCTTTCTCTCAGTCCCTCCCTGACTCATGCTCTCTGTCTCTCAAAAATAAGTGAAAACAAACAAGCCAGAAAACCTCCTAGAAGACTTCGGCATAAGCTCCTTTACATTGGCAGTGGTGGGCAGCAATATTTTTTGATTTGACATCAAAAGCAAAAGTAACGAGCAAAAATAACACACGGCAAAGGAAACCAACAAAATGAAAAGGAAACCTACTGCATGTAGGAAATATTTGCAAATCACATAACTGATACGGAATTAATATCCAGCATGCATAAAGAATTCCTACAACTCAGTAGCAAAAGAACAAGGAAACTGATTTTAAAATGGCAGAGGGTCTAAATAAACACTTTTCCAAAGAAGACACCGATAGCCAACAGGTCCATGAACAGGTGCTCACCACCAGTCACCAGGGAAGTGGGAATCAAAACCACAATGAAGTATCCCCTCACTCTTTTAGAATGGCTATTACCAAGAAGATAAGAAGGTAACAAATGCTGACCAAGATGTGCACCTTTTGTGGAAACATAAGTTGGTTCAGCCACTAAGGAAACAGTTTAGAAGTTCTTCAAAAATAAAAATTAAAAATAGAACTACCATATGATCTAGCAATTTCACTTCTGGGTAATTATACAAGGAAATGAAGATACTAGCTGAAAAAGATAGCTGCGCCCCCATGTTCATTGCGGCATTATTTACCATAGTCAAGACGTGGAAGCAACCTAGGTGTCCATCAGTGGATGCACGGATAAAGAAAATTGTGTATATATGTAAGGACACACAGATACACATGTATTTTTATATAACATATACACAAATGTGCACATGCACACACGTTATGTAACAGAGTATTCAGCCATAAAAAGGAAAGAGATCCTGTCATTTGCCATGACCATGGGTGGACCTTGAGGGCATTATGCTAAGTGAAATGTCAGACAAAGACAAATAATTGCATAATCTCACTTGTGTGTAAAATCATAAAGAAAGAAAAGAAAAAAAACTCATACAGGTTGATGGTTGCCATAGGCCAGGGGGCAGTGAAATGGGGAATGGGGTCAAAAGGTACAAACGTCCAGTTATAAAATAACAGTAACATCAGGAGATGTAATGTTCAGTATGGTGACTACAGTCAGTAATACTGTATTGTATTTGATTGAAAGTTGCTAAAAGAGCTGATTTTTTTTTTTTTTTAATTTAAAAAAAAATTTTTTTTTTTTTAACATTTATTTATTTTTGAGACAGGAGAGACAGAGCATGAACGGGGGAGGGTCAGAGAGAGGGAGACACAGAATCTGAAACAGGCTCCAGGCTCTGAGCTGTCAGCACAGGGCCCGACGCGGGGCTCGAACTCACGGACCGCGAGATCATGACCTGAGCTGAAGTCGGCCGCTTAACCAACTGAGCCACCCAGGCGCCCCTGATCTTTTTTTTTTTTTTAATATTTATTTATTTTGAGAGAGACAGTGTGAGTGGGGGAGGGGCAGAGACAGACAGACACGCACGCGCGCGCGCGCGCGCACACACACACACACACGCGCGCGCACACACACACACACGCGCACACACACACACAGAATCCAAAGCAGGCTCTAAGCTCTGAGCTGTCAGCACAGAGCCTGATGTGGGGCTCGAACTCGTGAACTGCAAGATCATGACCTGAGCTGAAGTCGGACACTTAATTGACTGAGTCACCCAGGTGTCCCTAAAAGAGTTAATCTTAAAAGTTCTTGTCATAAGAGAAAAAAAATTGTAACTGCATTTAACGGCTGTTAACTAGACATACTGAATTTGCAGTATATACATATATTGAAGGAATATGGTGTACATCTGAAACTGATACAACGTTATACATTAACTATAGTTCAATAAAAGATAAAGTTCAATTTTGGGGAAAAAGTCTTCAGTTTTCACTTAGGTTTACTTACTATACTGCAGGTAGGAAATACAGCAGAATGCTCAAAAGTATGAATTGTGCCTTAGTTTGCCCATTTGTAAGGTAGTGATAATAGTGTCTATATCACATAGGTCTGTTGTAACAGCTAAATGAATGAGTTTGTAAATCATTTAGAACAGTATTTTAGATAGATTTTCCTTTATACAAATACGACAACAGAAGTCTTATTTTTGCCTCAGAGACTCTTAGAAATACTCAAAGAATCTTATGCAGTATACAGTTGGTCTGTTATGTTGGTAGCCTCTACTAAAGATTTATGTGAACAAATGGTGGCTTAAACATTAAGTGCCTATATTGTGGCTTAAATTGCCACCGGGTGCAAATAAATGTTCCTATCACCTTTTGCCCTGAGCTGCTTGTGGACTTTATAACTCTATTGGTGATGCAGTGAAGCTTGAGATGCATAATGCTGCGTGCCAAGCCTCAGGAGTGAGACTTTGACATTTGTTTGCCCGTCTCGAGGCTTGAGACATAGTTTGTGTCTGTTCAGCCTTGCAGTCCCTTCTTGGTGCTTGGAGTGGCTGCTTATATTCTCCTTGCCTCTTCAGCTTTTTAGGTGGTGCCTTTTTCCTTCTTTTTTTCTTGTTATTTCCTTCATCTATTTCTCTCTCTTTTCTTTGGAGTATGGCATCTTAAATCATCTTGGGACGGTGGTAGCATTGTTTTCTTCTGGCTGGCAAACTTAAAAACCTCAGCAACTATTTCATTGACATCTTTTGTCTCCTGCTTTTCTTCATGGTACTTGTATTTTGCAGTTTCCTTCTTTACAAGTTAGAAGGTCTAACTGACCAACATGTCTAGTCCAGTGTCCCTTTGAATCCACCTACTTCTGGCTTCCCAGCCCACTACTTCTTGAGTCCAGGCCCAGGACTTAGTCCAGCCTCCATAACGGTCGCTGTATATGCTCACTTGGCTCCCTCCATTTCATTTTCCGCAAGACTACTGTGTTCATCTTTGTGAACTACAAATCTGCTCAGTACTAAACCTCTTTAAAATTCTTCAGTGACTGCTCATTTTCCTGAGAATTAAAAGCTAGAGTCCTTAACGTAGCTTTCAAGTTCGTTTATCATCTTGTCCCTCTTGGGTGAGTTTGCCATTTCTTTACCCACGCATTTGTGCTTCAGCCAGTAGTGCTTTTCTGTTTCACAGTGTGGAGCCGTCTTCTTCTCTTCCCTTGGATTTTTAAGCATGTTGTTTCTTTAGCTTAGACAATTCCATTTTCCACACTACTACTCCCCGCCCTCCCCCTTCCCCCCCACCAAATCTTTTCTACCTTAGACTCGATGACTTTCACTGAAGAACCTTTCTCTATAAGTTGCTTTTCCTGTAGGATCCCATAGCATTTACCACATTTTGTTAAGTATCTGGTCTCACCCAGGTGATGGGCTGTTCGAGGATAGGAGGTCTTCCGTGTTTTCCATACCGAGCAGGCACAATTTCTGACACAGGGAAGGCAGGAAGTAAGTATTTAACTTTTGAGTTTAGGACGTTGGAGTGCTTCGATGACTATGGTTGTGTTGCATAGACATTGTGTTCTGCTATTACTGCTTTATAATAAAAACATTCTTAAAGTAATGAAAAAAGCCTTATTCGGTATATCTCAAGCTTACAAATATTAGTTTGCTTATACTCATGGAGAAAATTCATTATAAAGTTATTTAAAATATTTAAGCATAATTATTTCCTTTATTTAGTTACAGCCAAGTTCTACTTCTGAATCTATGGATCAACTGCTAAACAAAAATAGAGAGGGAGAAAAATCAAGAGATTTGGTCAAAGACAAAATTGAACCAAATGCTAAGGATTCTTTCGTTGAAAATAGCAGCAGCAATTGCACCAGCGGCAGCAGCAAACCGAGCAGTCCCAGCATTTCCCCTTCAGTCCTCAGTAATGCGGAGCACAAGAGGGGACCTGAGGTCACATCCCAAGGGGTTCAGACTTCCAGTCCGGGATGCAAACAAGATAAAGATGATAAAGAGGAGAAGAAAGATGCAGCTGAGTGAGTAGACCTCGAATTGAGCACATCCTGTTACTTGCTTAAATGTTTCTTAAAGGGTACAGGGCCCTTCAGCTCGAGAATCTGTCTGGACATTTGGACCTGTTTTGTAGGTGGACCTCAAGTTACAAACAGCTGGGCTAAACCAGTGATGTCTTAAGTAAATCAGGTCTTTGCACTCTGCACTTCTCTTTTCCTTCCCCATTGTGTTTCCCATGGTCAAAAACTAGACTAAATTAAGAAAGTTTTTTTTCTGTAAATGTACAAGGAGTTGAAAAATTACTGGCTTTTGGGAATTCTGTCCCCTGGCCGCTACTCAGTGCCCACCTCCTGGCTCTGCTGCTGAGACCGGGAACTGTCACTGCCGAGAAGAGGAAGAAGTATCTGGTGCCCCTACTTGGAATTCAGCATGTTTTCTATCATAAACAGTGTTTTACTTAATGGTTAGATTTGTTAAGATAAACTCAATTCTGCACATTCAGTGTGTTATCAATTGAATGGATCTTTGTGGGCTAGCCTCAGAACCTAATCCAAGCTAACCACTGTTAATTCATTTGTTCTGGTCTCCATACAGTCCAGTTATGGCTGAACTTTTGGAGTGCGGCTTGTTGATCAAAGAGTGCTGCTGCTTAATTTGAAGCAAAAGTTTTTATTTCTTAGAGTCATGATTTTTCCCAAGGCGTGTCACGGAGGAAACACTTTGTCACATTAGAAAATACTGCATGCTAGGGGGCACCTGGCTGGCTCAGTCAGCAGAGGGTGCGACTCTTGATCTTGGGATTGTGAGTTTGAGCCCCATGTTGGGTGCAGAGGTTACTTAAAAATAAAATCTTAAAAAACAAACAGACCCACATGGTAGAGAATTGGTGTATTAGGGATTGCTTTTAGGAATATTTTGTCTTATCAGTTTAAATATTTGTCGATTGCCTCTGAGAGAAGAACTATATATTAACATTTTTTTTTTTAGTTGCCCCTTTTTGGCCGATCCTTATCAGATTAAAGAGTGGGAAATTCGTGCATATGTTTTAATGAAGAGGATTAGTGATTCAGTAAGAATTGTTTAAAGTATGTTCAGCCATTTAACAAAACAGGTATGGAAGACTTGAGAGAAACATAAGTTCCATGCAGATTTTACTGGCCCTTTTTCATTTTCCCCTGGTTTAGGCAAGTGAGAAAATCAACACTGAATCCTAATGCAAAGGAGTTTAACCCTCGTTCCTTTTCTCAGGTAAGTTTGTTTCTTTCTTTGAAGTAATCTAGTCTCGAAAATGATAAATGTAGTAGTAGTAGGATTTCCCCCATACCTGCCATCTAAAGTCAGTTATAGGATGCTGAAAAACCTGTAGTTTCTGTTCCTTTTTCTGTGGTCATTTATGAATACTTCTGAGCCATGGAAAAGATTCATGTTTTGTTTTGTCATCAGTTAGATGTGATCTGGGGCAAATCTTTGAATCTTCCTCGCTGGCTGGCTAGCGAGGCTCTCAGGTTTATAGATGAACTATTATTCTATTAAATTTGTAAGAAGATATTTCTTTACTTTTAGAAACACTTTCCAGGGGGCACCTGGGTGGCTCAGTTGGTTAAGCATCTGACTCTTGATCGGGTCATGGTCTCACAGTTTGTGAGTTTGAGCCCAACATCGGGATCTGCGCTGACATCGCAGAGCCTGCTTGGGATTCTCTGTCCTTCTCTCTCTGCCCCACCCCTGATGGCTCTCTTGTTCTCTCTCTCTCTCTCTCTCTCTCTCTCTCTCTCTCTCTCTCTCAAAAATTAAGTAAACTCTAGGGGTGCCTGGGTGGCTTTGTCAGTTAAGCGTCCAACTTTGGCTCAGGTTGTGATCTTGCGGCTCATGGGTTCGAGCCCCATGTCAGGCTCTGTGCTGACAGCTCAGAGCCTGGAGCCTGCTTCGTATTCTGTGTCTCCCTTTCTCTCCACCCCTCTCCCACTCATGCTCTGTCTCTCAAAAATAAGTAAACAATTAAAAATAATTTTTTAAAATTAATTTTAAAAAGATGTTAAAAACTTTCTCCAGTTCCTTAAGGATCACTTATTTTTAGGTGCTTAAAAAGCTGTCATTTTTAGTAGTATTATTGATGTTGGCAAATTATTGTAATAAATGAGTTGGCAAATTTCATTTCCTACATAACTTTTTCCTTTTATTTTAAACATATGGAAGTTTATTTTCTAAAGTTTTTTTCATTAAAAGGGACTAATTAAAAGTGAGTAGATCTTAGAAAGATGAGAAGATCAGTTTTCAGATTGCAATAATAGCTTTTCATCTGAAGATAGTTGATTTTTATTTTTATAGCCAAAGCCTTCTACCACCCCAACTTCACCTCGTCCTCAAGCACAACCTAGCCCATCTATGGTGGGTCATCAGCAGCCAGCTCCAGTTTATACTCAGCCTGTCTGTTTTGCACCAAATATGATGTATCCAGTCCCAGTGAGCCCAGGCGTGCAAGTAAGTCCTAGAATTTAATGTGCACTTACCCTCCCTAGTTATTTGTATTTGACCCCAAGCGCTCTCTAGGTATGGGGTGACTTGAGGTAGTGATGGCAAAACAAAAATACTTGAAAAGAGGAGGCATGTGATGGCATGGTATGTTTTTAGTATAAAATGTGAGAATGTTTTCTGGTGAGAAAGAAAGATGGTTTAGATTTACTGGTTTGGGGTTTGTCCTTTTAGGTGTGAGTGTGATTTTATTTTTTAATGACTCCTGGCAAACCAGGAGACCTCAGAACTAGCTCTCTAACAATATACCAGTAAGAGAAAATAGTAAAATATATTCTTACTATCATAAGAGCCTAATTTTCTTTCTTTTTTTTTTTTTTTTAAATTCTCTCAAGCCTTTATACCCTATACCTATGACGCCCATGCCAGTGAATCAAGCCAAGACATATAGAGCAGGTAAAGGTGAGAATAATCCTGCCTGTGTTTGCTTGTAAGTGTGCATGCTGCATGAATTAAGTAATATTTGTGGTTCAGCTTTGACTTTTGATGAGCCTGTATGCTGACTTGTGGTACCCAACACTGCCTGAGGTGTTCAGATGTATTTTTTTTTTAATGTGTATTTATTTTTGAGAGAGAGAGAGTGTGCATGCAGCGGAGGGGCAGAAGATCCAAAGCAGGCTCTTTGCTGACAGCAGAGAGCCCAGTGCGGGGCTTGAACTCATGTACCATGAGATCATAATCTGAGCTGAAGTCAGATGCTTAATGTACTAAGCCACCCAGGCACCCTAAGGTGCATTTTTATGAACAAAACTAGGAGAGGAGAAATGCTCATCAGTTAGGATTGTTCAAAAGAATTCTTTGAAAAGAATAATTGAATTCTGAAGTTTTCAATGTTAAATTTTGAAGAGTGTTAAATTATTTACTAAGTTGCTGACCTTTGAATTTTTTTTTAATTTTTTTTTCAATATATGAAATTTATTGTCAAAATGGTTTCCATACAACACCCAGTGCTCATCCCAAAAGGTGCCCTCCTCAATACCCATCACCCACCCTCCCCTCCCTCCCACCCCCCATCAACCCTCAGTTTGTTCTCAGTTTTTAAGAGTCTCTTATGCTTTGGCTCTCTCCCACTCTAACCTCTTTTTTTTTTTTTTTTTCCTTCCCCTCCCCCATGGGTTTCTGTTAAGTTTCTCAGGATCCACATAAGAGTGAAAACATACGGTATCTGGCTGACCTTTGAATTTTATACTAACCTGCAGTTCCCACCCCCATCCCTACTCCCCATCCAGAATTTCTTTTTGAGCAGAGGCCAGCTCACTTCAGAAACCATCAGAATCTTCATAGTAGAGGGATGTTTCCTCTTTTTAAGATGGCGTTATAGTACAGTATGGCTCTTGGTGTGAGAGAGGCACTTTATCTTCAGGAGGCAGGGTCATTTCTAGTAAGGGAGAACAGGCACATGTCAAGAACAGCACCTATAAACATATGCTATGCTCAGAAGATGGGAAGTGACTGGATAATTGGTTTGTCCATAATTCACATTTGGCAGTTATCAAGATTTTGCCATATTTACCTGAGGGTGCTTTGTTTTGTTGCTGAAGTATTAAAAGTAAACCGCAGACATCATGCCATTTTATTCCTATGTACTTACTGTATATCTTTCTGAATTAGGGACTTTTTTTTCTTAGATGGCCAGAGTGGTGTTATCACACTTTATAAAATAAACAGTAATTCCCTTTCATGTAATAAATTTATCTAATCGATTATCCTGATTGGATCAAAAATCACATTTTTAGGGGCACTGGGTTGGTTAAGTGTCCAGCTTCAGCTTAGGTCATGATCTCCTGGTTTGTAAGTCGAGCCCCACATCGGGCTCTCTGCCTCTACCCCCACCCCTACCCCCAAACAAATAGACATTTTTAAAAAAATATTTTTTATAATTGATCTGTTTTGAATATGGATCAAAATATCTATACATTATTTTGTTTATTTAAAAAAAGTTTTTTTAATGTTTATTTTTGAGAGGAACAGAGTATGAGTGGGGGAGGGGCAGAGAGACAGACAGACAGACACAGAAACTGAAGTAGGCTCCAGGCTCTGAGCTGTCAGCACAGAGCCCGACACGGGGCTTGAACCCACGAACAGTGAGATCGTGACCCGAGCCAAAGTCGGACGCTTAACCGACTGAGCCACCCAGATGCCCCTGATCTATAAATTATTACATTTATTACATGTCTTTGTAGTTCCTTTTCTCTTTGTTTTCCTGTTACTGCTTTGTGGCAGGAACCAGTTGTTATGTAGGAATGTCCCGTATTCTAGATTTGTGTCTCTACTCCTTGTGATGGCATTGAGTACTTCAGTTCAGGTTTAACTTTTTTGTAGGAGAGAGGTAAGAATATTTAAGATGATTATCAGTGCTTTATATTAGATCATTCAGGAGGTCCACAATATTGGTCTTATTCTGAGTATTGGTAAAATTAAGGGCTCAGGTGGTGATAGCCCAATCCTATCTTTTTATCTATCTTTTAACAAATTATCACCGGTCTTAGCTGCCTAAAACAATAAACGTAAATTATCTCAGGAGGGTCAGAAATTCAGGAGCGGTTTAACTGGGTAGTTCTGCGTCAGAGTCTCTTAAGAAATTGCAGCCAAGATGTTGGTTAGAACTGTAGTATATGAAGGGTTAAATGAAGCTGGACAATCTACTTCCAGATTCGAGTTGTTGACAGGATAGTGCTGGTCATAACGTGGCAGCTGACTTCTCCCAAAATGAGTATTCAGAGAGAAATTGATCTAAGTGGAAGCTGCAGTGTGTTTTACAACCTAATCTTGGAAGTGACATAACTTCTGCAGTATGCTGTAGATTACACAAAGCCAACCTGAAACAGTAGAAGGGGACTACACAGGGGTGTGAATACCAGGAGGCAGGATCGCAGGGGCCCATCTTGGTGAGCCTGTTTCATTTTACTACAATGTGTATAAAATAGTCTTTAAATATTTGTTGTCTAACTTTTCCTTACTATCTGTTTCATTAAGAATTGGGTAAGTGCCAGTTTTCTGAGTGAGAAACTGTTGGTGTCTTTGCTACTTCCAAAATACTGTCTTCCAGAGTTACTGAGTCATGTCAGTGGTTTGATACATAGATAGACCAATCTGATTGGACTTGTTTTCATTTGTCAGGGATAGCTTTTTGATTATTTTAATTTTATGCATATGCAAAATATTTGTAAGATTGCAAAGTGGAATGACATGAAGAGATCATTCGGAGAAGTCTTGCTTCCAGCCCAGTCTCTTCCACTTGAACTTTCTCTAATCACTTCTGTTCTAGTAGGTGCTTCATTTTTTTTTTTTTTATCATCAGCAGATGATCGTTTAAAATTATTTTCTGGTTGTCCTCACAGTGTTTATTTTTGTGAATATTCATTTTCTATAAATATATATTTTTAAAATCATTTTATTTAAATATAATTCACATGCCATAAAATCCATCCCATTGAAGTATACAGTTTAGTGGTTTTCAGCGTATCAGAGTTGTCCAGTCATTGCTACAGCACATTTTAGAACATTTTTGGGGTACCTGGCTGGCTCGGTTGGTAGAGCATTGACTCTTGATCTTGGAGTTGTGAGTTTGAGCCTTACTTACATTGGTTGTAGAGATTACTTTTAAAAAGAAAAAAAAAAAGACCATTTTTATCACTCCAGTAAGAAATCCTGTACCTTTTAGCAGTTACCCCTACCCCTCCCCATGCATATACACTCTCCTACCTTAGGCATAATATGCTTGCTTTCTCTATAGATTTGCCTCTTCTGGATATTTCGTATGAGGGAAAACATGTTGTATGTAGGCTTTTCTGCCTTGTTTCTTTTACTTAGTGAAAGGTTTTCAAAATTCATCCATGTTGGAGCATTTATCAGTACTTCATTCCTTTTTATGGATAAATGCTATTCCATTGTGTGGATATACCACATCTTATTTATCCGTTCATCAATTGATTCCTCTTTGGGTTGCTGCCACTCTTGAGTCTTATGGGTAATGCTGCCGTGAACATTTGTATGCAAGTTTTTGTGTAGACTTATGTTTTTATTTCTCCTGGAGTGAAATTACTGTGTTGGAGTGTATGCATCATTTTATATTTCTATCAGTAGTGTACAAGGATCCCAGTTTCTCCACATTCTTGCCAATACTTGCTATTGTCTTTTTGGTTATATCTATCTCAGTGGTTATAAAGTATCTCATCATGGTTTTAATTTGCATTTCCCTAATGACTGATGGTAGTGAGCATCTTTCTGTGTGCCTATCAGCTGTTTGCATATCGCTGTAGAAAAATGTCTATTCAGATTCGTGACCTAATTTTTAACTCGGTTATTTGTCTTTTAATTATTGAATTGTAGATGTTCTTTATACTCTCTGTATACAAACCCTTTATCAGATAAAGTATTTACAAATACTTCCATTTGATGAGAGTTTTAAAAATTGCTTCATGGTGTCCTTTGTAGCACAAAAGTTTCGTTTTATTTTTTACTCTTTAAATGTGTATTTATTGTTTAGAGAGAGAGAGAGAGAGAGAGAGAGACATTGAATGAGTGAATGAGCGGGGGAGAGGCAGAAAGAGGTGGGGACAGAGGATCCGAAGCTGGCTCTGTGCTGACAGCAGTGAACCGATGCGGGGCTCAAACTCACCAACTGTGAGATCATGACCTGAACTGAAGTCGGACTCTCAGCCAACTGAGACAGAGCCACCTGGGCACCCCTGGTATTTTTTTTAAGTTTATTTTATTTTGAGAGAGACACACAAAGAGCATACATGTGTGAGCATGTGAGCGGGAAGGGGCAGAGAAAGGAAAAAGAAAATCCCAAGCACCAGAAGCACCCTGTAAGCACAGAAGTTTTTAATTTTGATGCAAATTCATTTGTGTTTTTATTGTTGTGGCTTATGCTTTTGGTGTTATATCTAAGGAAAAACCATTGTCTGAACCAAAGTCACAAAGATTTACTGTGACTTTTAAAGAGTTTTATAGTTTGGCTGCAACATTTATTAGATTGATAATCCATTCTGAGTTAATTTTTTTAAAGTTTTATTCGTTTAAGTGATCTCTAACTCCAGCATGGGGCTCAAACTCCTGACCCCGAGATCAAGAGTCACTTGCTCTTCCTACCGAGCCAACCGAGTGCCCCATTCTGAGTTAATTTTTGTGCATGGTATGAGGATAGGGATCCAAATTCATTCTTTTGCATGTGGTTTTCCACATACCCCAGCACAATTTGTTGAAAAGACTATGTCCTCATTAAATTGTCATGACGGGGCACCTGGGTGGCTCAGTTGGTTTAAGTGTCCAACTCTTGATTTTACTCAGGTCATGATCTCATGGTTCGTGAGTTTGAGTGCCACGTTGGGCTCCGTGCTGACAGCACAGAGCCTGCTTGGGTTTCTCTCTGCCCCTCTCCCACTCATGCACGCTCA